GAAAAGGTTTCAGGTTTACACACTGACAGACAGGTGGGTGAGCACTGGGAGGCATTAATAACTGTTTCAGATGGTGACATAGCGTGTCAGGGAGCTGAGCAGGTGACGGTGGCCACAACAGAGTCCAGGGTTTCCATCCTGTAGTGCTGGTTTCCACTGCAGACCAAGGGGCCACGCAGTGGGCCACAGAGGCCTTCTGTCTCCACCATCCCACCAACGTCCTGACTTTTGACTTCTGGCAGTTTGTAGCTTCAGAAGAAACTCTTAAACTTGATTGATTTAATTTTCTGACCTTTTTTCTTAAATCCACACACACTGTCTTATTACATTCCACTGAAACCTGCAAGACGGTGCACTTTTCGATGATGATGGCAACATCTTCAAGGGAATCGTGTAGCTGGGCTCCTTAATGGATTATTTTATAAATGCCCAAATGATCTTTTAAGTTCCGTTTTTTTGTAAAAGCAGAGATGATGTTTTGGAATGTTTCCTCCGTGTGTATTCTGTTCTGATCATTCCTTTTGATAAAATGGGTCAAGTCCTTATGAGAGGGAGGATGGATCCGGCGGTCTGTTTGCTATCTAAAAGGCTTTAAAACACACTCGTAAAGGAGCGGGTTGATGGCCCTGCAAAGTGTCTTGGTCGCCTCTTTAAAATCTTCCAGCGGTGACTTAATTACTCTTCTAAAAGTGTGCTTTGGGTGGAAGCTGGTTTTATGTAAAAGAGCGTGTGTCTGTGTCTTTAAAATGAACTTTAAGATCCAGTAGGTTTGTGCTGCTAAAAACAGGGCTAAGCTACTTACACTAAAACTATTGAAACGGGTTAAAATGCGTTTTTGTTGGCGTGTGAGGAGGGGTGAAAAGTTCAATTTGGGGATATAGATGGCTGTGTGAGGGAATTTGGTCCTGACCGCACACACAGCTGCCTCCAGCTGTTTTTTATTGGGTGCGGTGTACTTGCGGTCTTTCTAATTAATCCTGAATGATAAAATGATAGTGTCTACCTTGTTGTGGACTGTAGTGTTGTTCATTAACAGAATGAGGTGGCGAAAAGTGGCTCTTGGAAAGGAGTCAATTTGTAATTCCGGCACCTGAAATGGTGCAGTCCGCCCCAGATTTGAGTCCCCCAGGACCAGGTGCTTTTTCCTGACGCAGAGAGACCACTCTTCCTCCCTCTGCGTCCGGATGTGTTTGGTCACCGTTTGGACGGTGCCGTTGTCCTCCGCTGCTGAGCTGTCCCGCTGTGGTCCTGACCCTGGTCCTGGGGGCGCGCTGTGGTGCTGACCCTGGTCCTGG